TGTAGTATGAGGGGCTGGCTTGTTGGGGTATCTGTCCTGCCCAGTACCCCACAGCAGGCAGGCCCCAAAGAAAATCACGCACAAGACTCCATAAGATTATAAACTGATTGGCTCATTAGGTCAGGCTTCTTGTTAACTCTTATAACTTATATTAACCCATTATTCTCATCTATGTTAGCCATAATGGCTCCGTACCTTTCTCAGCTGGGCAAGTTACATGCTGCCTCTTCAGTGGTCTGCGCAGGAGTGGCCGAGGGAGTTTCTTCCTCCCTAGCCTTATCCTATTCTCATTTCCCCGCCTCTACTTCCTGTCTGGTTGACCCACCTATACTTCCTGCCTGGCCAATCAGCGTTTTATTAAAATACATGATTGACAGAATACAGACAATTCTCCCACACCACCTTCTTGCTTTAGAATCACCAAGAACAGAGCAGTGGAGGCTGTAGGTATAGGCAGCAGAGGAGGGGTGTGGGCAGAGGGTGGCTAGGAAGCAGAGGAGGGGTGTGGGCAGGGGGTGGCATCAACAAAAAGACCGAGTGAGAAAAGCCAGACACAGGAAGATGAAAGCTGTGTGATGCCACTCGTCTGGGAGTCTAAACATGCCACCTTCGGAGCAGTAGAGTGGAGTTGGCTGGTGGTTATCAAGAACTGGGAAGGGGGTGGGGAAATTTGATCACAGCCACCAACTTCCACAGACAAGACTAGTTAGTCACAGAGATCTGATTATGGTGCAGTGAATAGTCAGTACTGATGTATGGTTGATTTGTTTATTGTTGTTATAGTTAAGACATGAGCTTTTGAGTCCTCAACACACACACACAAAGAGAGAGAGAGAGAGACAGAAGAAGAGGGAGAGAGAAAGAGGGAAGGAGAGGGGAGGGGTGAGCATAGATGGTAATGGATGCACTCATTTGTGATAAACAGTGCATGCATCAAAGCTAAGCAGTTTCACATAAAGTAACTAAACCCTGGAGAGTTAGTGCCTGTGTCAGGTATGGAGGAGGACACCTGTAGTCTCATCACTTAGGAGGTGCAGGCAGGAGAATCAGGGCTCTAAAGTCAACCTAAGTAACATGGAACCTTGTCTCAAACAACAAAAAAGACTTACGTGTGCTCTAAGAACAATGCTGGAGGAGGAGGGGCAAACAGGAAGGCTTGTACTCTTGTACCCAGTCAGGCTAATGGTAATGACTCTAAAGCCAGCTTAGAAAGGGACAGGAGGCAGAGGAGGGAGGGCAGAGATCTGGCCTCAGCTCTAATGACCAGTCTTCACTTGGTCATCTCAACAGTGCTAAGGGGAATGGCTGGTGTGAGTCTACTAGACCTCTGGTGACTGAGCCAGAGTCACTGCCTGTTGGTTCTGCTGGACTTTGCACCCTCACTTCCCCCGTGTCTCATCTCTGCTTCCTTACCAGGTTGTCCTATGAACCCTTCTTTGGGAATCTTGTTGGAGTTCTGCTTCAGCACAATGAAGCTAACGGGTATCAGAGAAGACTGTCTCCTTCATCTTCATAGAAACAGCACTTGAGAAACATTGCCAGCTGCAGAGAGACGGTCACGATGCCTGACGTCCATCGCCCCAGCCTTTCCATCAACTGCACTGACAAACTCTCTTTCATGCCTTGGCCACAGTGAGCTGACCTGCAACTAGGAGACACACTCAACAGAGAGATGCAAAGCGGCTCCTTTCTTTATCCCATCCAAGAATTCCTCCTGTAGGTAAGTGGGGCAGCCTGTGAAGCCCCAACAGAGGAGAATCACTGTTTTCCATGACGCTCACTGTGCCCTCAGTTCCTTGGGCCCAGTGTTTCGTTTGTGAATCAAGTGTTTTTCATTAGAGTCGCTCAGCTGCCAAACTTCCCAGTGAACAGACAGAAATTCAATCTATCCAAACAATTTCTGTAACATGCATCATGTCTATGTTATAATAGGAAGAGAGGCCCTGGAGAGACAGCTCCGGCACGAAGAACACTTGCTGCAAGATCTTGCAAAGGACACAGACTGGGTTCCCAGCACCTTCATCTGGTGGCTCACAAGTGCCTGTAACTCCAGTTCCAGAAGATCCAACATTCTCTTCTGGTCTCTGTGGCACACAAATTTACTCAGGCATACACGCAAAGAAATAAATCTTTGAGTGAGGGAGGAAAAGAAAAAGGACAGAACTCAAGTGTCCAATCAGATTGAAACCCATCTATGCTTCCTCCTTGTCTACAGTTCAGTAGACCCTGTCACGTGGCACTGTCTGCAATCTGTAGCCACTTCTCCCTACATCACCTCTGGGGTCCAGTCACAGAGACCCCTTCCAGCAATGTGGATGGGAGGCTCTTCCTGAGCCTGATTCCTTCTCTTTCTCCTCACACCCACACCCTGACAGTCTCAGTCTTCTTGAGTTATTGATGACTCAAGTTTCAGAACTTATCCAATACTGTACTTTTCCCCAGAAGCCCTCTTTGATGTCCTGTCTCCTTCCAAATTTAGACCAGGGCTTCCTCCTACGTGCCCTCTGTGTCCCTTTTTTTCCTTTTTCAGTACACAGTGCAGATAAGTGTGTCTATTTTAAATAAAACCATATAAGTGTGTGTGTGTGTGTGTGTGTGTGTGTGTGTGTGTGTGTGT